TCGATCGCTGAAAGAGCATCCCGATCCAAGCGCCAGGAACATGCCTGGAGCTGGGTTTCGTCGGTATTCGTTGACAGCGGCTTAGCGCACGCACAATTCTCCTGTCGTCGTTCGGCCGACGGCCTATCCTGGCCCAGGGTTTGAGAGGTCTGCCGGGCGTCAACAAGCAACTGCCTTGTTCGTTGGGGCGCCTGCCCTTTGACGATACACTTGGTGGGCGGTGGTGCCTGCCCGATGTCTCGTCTACCACAGCACTGGTATACCACACACCACCATGACAAATTTGTTGGCACCGCAAAATCAATTTTTTCCTAGTAACTCCACCGCCCTCAATCCAACCCACGCACAACAAAGCCTCACAACGATGTTTACAGAGCTTTCTACGCCTAAAAAAGCACGCGTGCAAGCCGTATGCGATTTCCTTGATACAGAAAAGCGTTCCTACAGTCACAATGCCGTTTTTCGTTGGGCTGGAGTCTCCAAAAGATCCGGCTGGCGTTAGGCTGTTTGGGAAGATAGGTACATCAAGGAACTAGCAGAAGAGGCCTGGAATGGGTTGTCACTTGATTCAATCAACAGGTGGGTTGATTCTGTACCGGATATCCTAGAAAAGATCGTGGATGCGGAGGGCAAGATGACGGCCTACCACAGATAGTAGCCCCTGGGTTGTAGCTCCTTTTTTTGCGGTGCCAACAAATTTGTCATGGTGGTGCCACAGTACTGTGCCTACTGGAAAGCGGCAGGAGCACATGACCAGCAACTAAGCGCTTGTGTGTGGTGGCACAGCACATTTCCACGGACACCCGCATCTGCAGCTCGGAATCTGGTCGCAACGAACTCCCCCGAGCGCTCCAGTCAGAGAGAGAGAGTGCTGACGAGCTGCTGAGCAAGATGGACGTTCTCTTGCCACCCCGTCTCAGCCTCCACTGCGCTGACGCAGCCGTGTTTGAGGGTCCCGGCCGCTGTGTGGGGACTGCAGGGAAGCCCACTGTGGGATTGGGTGCATCCGAAATTTGTTCCATGGCGGCCTGGCCGTGTACCTGCAGAGCCCCAGCTTGCACACCAACGACAGCGCTGTGGACAAATCGATGCAATTGACGCCAGCCACAGTGAGGCTGGCGTTTTGCGATGTGGTTGATTGGAATGCCATCAAGAGACGGGCGGGTTTCTGCGTCCATTGCCGCCAGGAGCATACGAAAGAGGTGTTCAAATCCTTCCACATTTCGTGATGGCCACTTGCTGGCCTCTAGGTACCTTCCACCTACCAAGCCTTGACCACAATCTATCCCTCGGCACAAGTTCTGCACAGCAACCACGGCCAAGCCACGGCTCCCACACTGTATGTGCCACAGGGCCCAAGCCGGCATGGTAGCGCCATGAGACACGACCTGGCTGTCGCCCTGTCGAGTTCGTCGCCTATCCTCCCTGGCGCCGGCCGTGCCAGCCCAGGGGGAGGGATCTGGCTGACAGGTTGTAAGCTTAAATTGTCTAAACTCTGACGACTGTGCGCCATGGCGACGACGGGTGTGAACATGATGGGGGGGGACGACCGAGGCATGGCTCGTTGATCGCCTGATGGTGGTGGGTCCATCCGGTCTTTCCGACTACCACCTCCCCCTGACTCCATGTTTTGCGTGTGGGCCGTTCTTTTTTATCTTCTTTCTCTCCCCCGACTTGTCGCTTCTGCGTTTGATGTTTGATCCCGGCACTTTGCTGCCGTTTTGAATCATCCAAATCCGCCGGGCGGTCTGATGTTGACCAGATCCAATCTAGAGATGCAAGCAGCCACGGGCTTGGGACGATATCTCTCTGCTCTGCTAACCGTCCTGGAAACACGGAACGGGAGAGTTGGCCAGTTACTTTGGTTGCTTCACTTGGTGTACTTGATATCGTTGCCGCTGAATGTAAAGAAGGCTCGATTCGTAGTGAGTGGTACCATGTTTCAAGCGCCGGGGCCATCTCCAGTCAGACCATCACAGGCTCCACCTGCCCCAAAAAAGACAACGAAGAATAGGTCTTTTGTCAAAGAGAATCCACCTCCTCTCAGCGTGGAAGCAAGCAATTTCCGCGGTGATCAACAACGCCTCACCGCTCCTCAATGGGTCCCCTTCTCCATCTCGTGGCCGTAGCCGAGGGGGAGGGGGGCGGCCCCAGAGCGGTGGTACAGACAAGAAACAAAGTGAAAACCGAGAAGAGGGTGGCGACCGGGGCCCTGAACATGGGAATGTCACAAGAATACCATAGACGGGGGGGATGCGAAAGTCGCAGGTTGCAGCATGGCAAAACGTCGGTTCGGCTGAGCGGCCACAAACGGGCAACGTCTCTGGTCTCGTAGGACCCCATGTTTCGGGCGTGGGCTTAGCTTGAAGGAGCTAAGTAACTGGCGAGGGCATGGGTGGACCGGATGAAGATTGCCCGCACCAAGCATTGACTCTGCTCTGCCTCTGCTCTGCGTGGTGATCGAGGCACTGTGTACGGCACATGCCTGGGGTGGGTTGAGCTTGACAGATTGATTGTCGTCCCGACCTCGCGCCACCTGCCCTCGTATCCTTTTGGTTCCGGCCTCCTGCCAGTCGTTCAGTCATGCCCGCTGGCTTGGGGTTCTGGAAAGTGGAGCGCATATGCACATCTTGGAAATCTTGGAAATCTTGGAAATCTTGCGGCCTGCAGACCTTCGCCGGGCGGCTGGAGGGCCGTCGTGATTGGCCGTGAGGAGGGATCGAGGTCCCGATAGCATCGTGGTAGTGCTGCCCGCTGCTGCCACGGAACAGCGTGGTGCCGTGCCAGCAGCATGGGAATGACACCCCCTCCCTTCTCCCTTCAGGCAGGGGCGTTGCCATCGCTCCACGCTCTTCCATCCCTTCAACTGGAAGCTTTCTTTTTTAGATGCTGCAGCATCCCTTGTTCCGTCTGATTGAGCCGAGCTCGCCTGGTTGATTGGTTTGTCCGATCTGGCACGCGGCGGATCACATTTTTTTCCAATTTTCCAGTTTTCCAATTGATTGCTCTGCCAAGCTGGGCGAGTTCTATGGACTGTCGCAATGAATCTCGGCTATGAAATGCTCGGCGCGGCACATTCACGGCTGTGGAATTAGCTCTCCCTCTTGCTCCCTGCGTCGTATGTAAACGACGCCCAGAGCACACCGCCCGCAGCCTGAAAACCCTTGCGTCTCTTGGCCGAGGCAAGTCTGGAAAACCTAGAGGGATGAACCTGCTGGCCGTTCAAGCGAGCCATGATTTATTGAACTCCCCCGCGCATGATGCGGATCCCACACGACTCAATCGCTTTGCCTGGAAAAAGCCTCACCTTCACCGCAACACAGCCTTTGCCCGCGAAGGAAGGTGACGGTATCGTCTCCATCGTCGGTGGGAACGGGAAGCGGCACGGGCTGCTGTGCTGCTGTGCTGCGTTTACTGTGTAGCCCAAGTAAGCCCTGGCACGACAGCCCGCTCGCCCACCGAAAAGCACGGATTTAGCTCTCTCCCTCTCCCCGCACCTGCGGCTATGGAGCCTGCTTGGGGGCTGGGCTGGCACGCACGGCTGGCTATCTCGTCACCTCCTTTCACCGACGCCCATCACCGTGCGCAGTCGCTACCCCCTTTCCCGCCGTGGCTTACTGGGGCCACGGCGCGATGTGACGACCGTCATGATAGTGCCCGGGTGGGGGGAGGACGCTCTCCCGCTAGCCCGCCCCAATCTCGACTGCACGGCTGGGCCCAATCTCGCGCCTTTGTAGCGAACGACATGCCTCTCTAGCGTTCCGTTCCCTGCGCGGGGTACCTAAAAATACAATGCTGGACGCCGCCATTCCTGTCGAGGGGAGGTTACCGACAGAGCAGGCTGCCGGTGATTGCGGCTCGCCAGCACATCCCACACGTTCCCCCGTCCAGTAATGTCGTCGGCATCCCCCTCAAGTGCTGTGGGGGGAGATAGTCACCGAACCTGCCTCAATCACAATAGAGACCGCTCGCTCGCTCGCGCGCCCGTCCTTTTCCTTGGTTGGTCGTTCCCCTTTCCCGCCGTCACCGGGCCCGCAAGGTACGATACAACCGTGACAAATGCACCGAGCGGGCTCCGGGGCTCGGGGGAGATGTGATGAAGCACAGACGGTGAGACGGAGGAGCGATGCCTTTTTTTTTCTTCCTTTCGCGCCGTGGCGCCCAATAGCCTCGTCGACCGTCCGCCACGCTGCGAGTTATTAGATACCAAGGGATAGCCTTTTCCGCTCGGCTTCCATGCCGGGGTGTGTCTTGCTGCACGTGGCTGCATTGGCACAATAGCAGACAAGAATAACGAGGATAATAATACAGCGACTGCAGCTGCCATGCACGCCGCATCATCATGTCACTATCACACATTGCCTTGGTCTTCCTCATGTGGAATGTGCAAACGCACGACTTCGCTGGGGCCTTTTTTTCTTCTCTTCCTTTGCGACGCCCACCCCGTATTCCTCCTCAGTCTTGCCTAAACGCCAGAAGCCCAACGCCTCCGAATGCCCGCATGCCCATTCTCGGAGAGGTTTTTTTTTGTTTGTATTTTTTGTGCTTCTTCTTTTCCCCTCTTTCTCTTAGTTTCTGCACAACCCCCAACCACCCCCCGGGCCTTATCCCTCTTGGCCGGGGCCGGTTGTTCCGGCGGATGAGCCAACGTGGGGGCGGAACAAGACCTCCCCTATTCCGTGTTTCTATTTCGGGATGGAGGGCGGGCTGCACTTTGTAGACCTTGGCTCGTGATGTTGGTCCTGGTTGGTCTCCGTGCGGCCGTTGGTCAACGAGGAGGGACAATTCTGGGCAAACGAAGCAAGTAACAATAATACGCACCGAGGGAATGTGAATAAGACGAAAGAATAAGGAGAAACCCTCAAGAAAAGCTGTGTGTGTCGCAAATGTAGCGCGCGAATGTCCGTCCTGCACACGCCACAGACGCACGCCCGGGGGGCCATCCACCCAACAACAACGCAGGCGCAACGAGACGAGAAACGCGACGCCGTCCCGTCCCGCCAGAGCCTCAGCGCCGCCAGAGTGTTTCTGATTCGACGCAAGCGCTGCTCCTGCTTGCTCAAATCGCCCCGAGCGGCAACGACGACGCGCCGGCCTTGTGCCGCCTTGCCGCACGGGTCTTGTGCAAGCTGCTGCTGCTGCTGCGAGGGCCTTGTGTACAGTGACGCGGGCGGGGTTGATGCCTTTGGGGGCAACAAAGTGCAAAAGGACCGGGCATGGTGTATTTTTGTTTTTATTTTTTATTTTTTTATTTAGGGCATTAGGGATTGTCGCGCGAACCGAACTGCCGCCGGCCATGGTGGAAAGTCGAGAGAGAAAAGGTACAAAAAAGTAGCAAAAACGTATCCGACTCGGCGTCTAACGAGCGCCCATCGCCGCACCGGGCCAGATCTGTGACACCGATTCGCTTCGCAGTGCGCCCATTTGATAACATAGAATACAGGAACGTTATGAATCGAGGACACCGTCTTATCGTCCAAGTCTTGCTTGGTTGCAGCGGCTATCGGTTATTCTCGCAACCCTTCCACGTCTATGTACTCGCACCACAGCATTCGTGTATGTAGAGCGCTATAGTACCATTGAAAGGAACCTGGGTTAGTGGACTCAGCAGAATCAAGACACCGACCAAAACTCTTCTTCGAGCCCGCGGTTTTTTTTTTAAGAGAAAAACTTTATTTTACTTGTCCGCTTAGCTGATGTTTAATGCGAAAGCCTTGCGGCAGCTTGGGATAATAGTAGGACGCTATCAGGATACCTGGACATGACACGTCCAGGAGCCAAATCAGTCGTCCATGACGTTCAAGAAGAAAAGGAAAAGAAACAGACAGGAGAAATGCAAAAAGAAAACCCAACGCAGCAACATTGAACTAATAAACATTCGGGGTATAAGCCTGTGTCTCCCCCTGTCTATCGAAAACGACCGGTAGGCCAAGCCGGCAGGAACAAGATAACACCTCCAGAACGCCCGGAACACAAAAAATGTAGCAATGTGGATATAAAAGAACAACACAACAATAGGGTGATAAGGGTTTGTCATGTGTTGGGAATGCTGTGTTATCCCAAGCGTTCAAATCACCGGAAGAAGCCCCGGATTCCTTGAACCATTACCCCTCGATGGAGGCCCCCGACCTTGGTCCATCGGCTCCCCGATTTGACCGACGACGACCTGTAGCCTGTCGACGCCCGGGGGAGCCCTGCCTGGGACATTTCTGCCTTCTCAGACCCAAAGGCCAAAGAGTCCCGTCGAGAGAACCTGGATCTTGCAGAAGGCCGGCGGCTCAGCTGTATGCTGCTCTTTGACGAGGCGGGGGTGACGGGCGATCCCGGGAGCGCGTGGTTGGCAAAATCTGGGAACCCAAACTTGTCGACAGCCGTATCCGAAAAAGACATGACCGACGGCATGCCTTGCTCGTCGTATTCGCCGGGGGACAGCTCAGGGGTTGGCATTGTCGCAATGCTTTTTGTCTCAATAGTAGACGGACAAGAACCGCGCCTCTCCTCCAAGGCGCCAAAGGCCCACACGGCGCTGACTGGATCTGCTGGCGGCTTGAAACCGGACCCGATGGCCTCGTCGGGGCTGGCGGTCTTGGATATGCTCGCCATGCTGCCGGATCTTCTCGAGAAAGTGCTGGCGATGCTGGCGACACTCAGTTTGCGCATCATGGAGGATGCCCCGGTTCGGACAAGGTGCTCGCCCCGTCCACGAACCGTCATGCCCGGGAAGGGTAAAGCCTCTCGAGTCCAGACGTCCGAGAGTAGCCCCTCGAGCCTCGCCCGTTCTGACCTCGACGGCGTCAGCAATGACACTCGATTCGGAGGTCCTAGCATTGATAATGACCTTTGCGGTCCATGCTTCGACGATGCCGATGAGGGCGCTGCCGCTTCCTTTTCCAGGCTCGTGTTTTTGAGGACTACCTGGCAAAGCGAAGATTTGGGGCCAACGGTTGTGGCCCGGTGTATTGATATCCTTCGAGCTATTGTGCCTGTGAAAGCATGTCAGTGACTGTCCGGGCGGGCCTGCCTTCCCCAGAGGTGAAGGAACAGGAGAGGCCGGCTGTAGGGCACACGAACCTGGCTTTCCAAACACGGTCCCCAAACTCCTGATATTCAACGAGAGGGCACAGAACCCCATCGGGTCAGCTGCACGCGAGTATTCACTGGCCGCCGAGTGCTCAAGACGACCACGCCACTCCTGGCCCTCTTTGGGACTGCAGGCCGTCATGACAATCTCATACAACTCGTAGTCGCACTCGAACACTAGCTTCCATGAGTGCGGTGCCGTATGGCATTGTATCCCTGGAACCCATGTCAGCGTCGTGATTCAGGCGGCCGGCATGTCCCTCTCGAAACAGTATCCCGAGAACGAGCGGCTCAAAGACATGTGATCCGTCTCACTCACCTCTGCCATTGTCAGCGTCTTCGACCTTGAGATTTGCCAGCTCGATGCAGAGAAGTATAGTGTATATCTGGTCGGCCCTGCCGGCCGCTGCAATACAGAGCCAGTCGCGATAGAGGAGGCATATCAGATATTGTCCAGTGACAGTGTCTTTGGTTTGCCAGCAGAGGTGGAGAACGCCGCAAAGCTGTATGTGTCCAAAAGAGCGGACGCGATTCTTGGAAGCCGCATCGAGCCTCTTCAAGAGCGAGAGAAAGAGGTCAGCTATGTAGTCCTAGCAGTAGCCAAATCTGGACTGCGTCCTCCTGCGGGGGGGTACATACCTGGTCTGGGAAGACGAGGCGGTCCTGAAGCAGCCAGGTTCTCTCGAGGGTAGTCTTCATCTGGGGGTCATCCGTAGCCCGGTTGATCTCGCCTGTGGCTTCCCGGAGGCGAACGAGAGCATCCTCAATCACCATATGTGAATGGGGGCAATCGAAGACTGGCGTGTGCTTGAGGAGCTCTGCGAAAAGTAACGGGTACTTGCACACACGTTGGATTGGCTAGGGTTCAGGGCAAGTCAGCAGCTGTACCCGAAACTCCTTCAAGAAGCAGCCCAAGCACAGCGCGGCAAAGGCCTGGTATACCTTGACGAGTAGGTCCCCAATGGTCAGAGACTTTTTCGAAGAGAAGTCGTCATGGCTGTTCATTGGCCCGATAGACGCTGCGAGCGCTTCTAGTCCCCTCTGGTACTTCTCCCAGTCTGCAAGGGTCCGACGGGCAAGATTGACGTCGTTCATCATGAGCTCATACTTGGCCCCGTACTCCTCGTATATGAAGAACCGGTTCATCTAGCGTGTGAATTGGGACATTAGCCCTTACGGATTCTGGGGAATCCCGCACGGTTGATGTGACAACCCAGGCCGTTGAAAAAGAGTTCTTACCTTGGCGATGAAGATCTTGGCTACCTCGGCTACCACCTGGGGCTCGGCCATCATCTCAGGGGCCTCCTGTGGCCACAGATCCCCGTTTTTGCCCTCGGGGACGGGTCCAAGGCTATTGCGAGCCGCTGGAGGGGACTCAGCTTGCGTGTACTCCGAATGCGGCACGGCCCGGTGTAGCTCGCCGAGGAGTTCTTCGTGCAGCTCCACTATCTCCGTCATGTTTTGGTTTATGGACGATCGGAGCCCGGGGACTTGGGTCGGTAATGATGCCAGGATCGTCACATATACCTACCGGGACTTTTAGCTCCATCCACGAATGGGTGGGGTCTGAATGATACGTTGGGAAAAACCAATGCCTACATTCATGAGGAAGCGCACATCTCTAATGTAGCTCTCTTCGGTGTTTATCAGCTCCTCGAGGATGCGGCGGCGCTGCATGGCGCGCTCGGCAACGGCTGGGTCCATAGTTGCGCCTCTGCCGGGATACTGGCTATCCTCCGATAGCCTCACCCCCGATATGGATGCCCTGCTGCTCCGGTCCGTCCGCGAGTGAGCCTTGGAAGACACGACATTTGTAGCCAGCTTGGATCGGCCAAGGACGCTGAAGCTGGCGAGGCTGATACTGGGACTCTTCAAGGCGGTAATGAAGGCAAAAGACGAATCTGACGATGAATGCCGGCGGTGGCGGTTGTAGTTCGCGGGCTTGGTCACCTCGGCATCGATCGAGAGGAACTGAGCGGCAGTGATGTCCAAGTCTAGGTCGCGGCGCCGCTGTTCTCCGCGTTTGCGCAGAGTATTCATCCACTTGTGGAAGGGCTTCCGGGATTTATCGGCCAGCAGGCTCAGTTCGGGAGCAGGAAGACGGCTCGATGTCGGTTCGAGGGGCGGCGAGGAGGGTTCGGGGAACTCGTCGGCGGCACAGGCGTCGGGGTTGTTATTCAAGATGAAGCGCAAAGAGGCCATGTTGTCGTCAATCTGCCAATCATGATCGGGCCCTTCCAGATGTAGGTCATCTCCCGAGCTGAGCAACGCGCCGCCGTCGGGGGCGGGGCCCACATGGGAGGACGCCGGCTCTGGCGTGTGGCGTTCGGCGGGCGCAACAGACGCGGGCGGGCTGCTTGGCCGGCTCGGCCGGTTGATGGTCACTGACCTTGTCGACGGGGCTGGAGAGTGCGGCCGGGAGTCGGAGTCGTTCACCAACGCCATGGTGGTAATGGTAGGGCTGGTCGGTTGGAAAAGAATGGAATTGCTCCAAGGAGGCAGCAGAACGAAGACCAAGAAACGAAAGATGCAAAACCCAAAGATCCATCCAAGGATTGCCTGCCTCCCAATGCCTGCAGGTGGTGGACTCAAAACATGATGGAAGAGTCAGGGCGGACGGGGATAGGGCATGGCGGCAGGTCGAGTTGCAGAGTCGGCGGTCGTCGGGGAGCGACAGAGATGGCGGCCGTCTCTTGAAGATGTACCTGTCGCAGCGCCGAGCCCAGTGGAGGTCACGGCCGCAGGACCCTCGACACGACCGCAGATGCAGACGGGACGGGACGATGGGGAGAAGGAGGAGGGGAGGGCGCATTCAAGGGTCCTCCCAGTGCGCAGGCGGTCCTGTCGCGAACCGCTCCCTGAAGCAGGTCGTTCCAACTTTGGCCGAAGGTGATTCCTGCTTGCGGGCGAAAAGAACCGAATGGGGACGGGAAGGCCCCTTAAGTGGCAACCATTTGCTGCCGTCGTTGGGAAGGCGCGACGCTTCGTTAGGCGCGCCGGCGCAAGCCCGCGCTCATGACAGGAGCCACGACTCCACTGCCGTTGACACAGCATGCACTCAATACCAAGGCGGAGGGCCTGTGTTGCCCCTGACCTTCTCCACGCCTGCTCCATGATACCGTGCCTAGCATGGCCACGAGAGGGCATTCGGGCGTTCTAGCAGGGTCGCCCGAAACCTTATATGGGACGGACGGAACCTGGGCCGTGAAACAGGACGATACTGGCGTCGATCGCTGTCTATGTACGATACTATAGCATAGGTTGCTCTCTGTCTGCCGACGTGTGTCTGCCACTGCCATACAGCCTGGTTGACACCTTTGACCTGCCGATCGAGCTGCACACCAGAGGCCCGAGGCTCGACCGCGAAACCAGATGGGCCTACACTTGTCTCCCTATGATGCCGTGTCGCATCCAGACGAAGACAGACTCGCGTTGCCAGGTGGCAGGTTCAGCGGCGCCACTGTAAAAATAAAGGCACGGGCTGCCATGAATCGAGTCCCTGGCTGGAGGGAAGGGTGCTGTCAGGGGTACCTGGTGGCCCAGGGCTGCACAACGTATGTCAAGGCTCCACCTGCCTCATGGCTCCCGGCATCTACCCCTTCAGCCTCAGCCCTGGGACGGCGCAGGGAAGCCCACCCCAACTCGGTTAGCGTTCTAGAAATTCAGGGGACGCACTGACCGCTGACGTACCAGCCAGGCCACAGAGCACCCCGCTGCAGCTCAAGCTCTGTCGCGATGCGCCATCCAACCGCGTCGACAGCTGCCTGCCACTTCAGCATCTGCTTCCTTCCACCAAATATGGTAACTGCTGCGCCAACCCCCAGGTAGATAACCTGTATCGGAAAAATGAACAACCTGCACGCGCCCACAATCCCGTCAGGGCCCACGACTGCGCCCGCTACCAACGGCCGCGCGGGGCATTTGACCATCGCGGAGCTGCAGCGCAAGAAGGACAACCTTGAAGCCGAGCTCAAGGCCCTGGGAGGCGTTCTAGAGTCGGTGCGGTCTCCTTCACAGTTGCCCTCATGGTCACGACCACAAGAATCCTAGCTGACCAGAGTGCGGGGAACAAACAGCACAATGTCGACATGAACACGAGCCTCCTGACCCCGGACGGGTTCCCCCGCGCCGACCTCGACATTGCCCAGAGTTCGTGACCCATTTCCACCCTCCTTCGCCGGGACGCTGCCTTGCTTCCGTAGAGGTAGCAGCGCATGCGAGACAAGATACGAAACCCAGCCGCATTTGCTAACTGGACGGGGTGTGCTCGATGCCAGTACGGACAACCCGGGCACGGATCATCCACCTGCGAAACGACTACAAGGACCTTATGGCTGTGATTGAGAAGCAGCTTCATGAGCACTTTGCCAGCCTCGATGACGACGAGGTCGCGGCCTCCTCCGGAACAACTTTTGCGACGGCTGAGCCGCTCCCGGATTCGGCACCCGAGGTGCTCGACCCTCCTTTTGCTAAGGTCAACAGCGTCGTCGACGGCAGCCCCGCCAACAGCGCTGGCCTCAAGGCGGGAGATCTAATCCGCAACTTTGGCTACGTCAATTATGCAAACCACGACGGCCTCAAGAAGGTCGGCGAGTGCGTGCAGGGCAACGAGGGGGTAGGTTTCTACTGGCAGCGGCATGGCCATGTGCTGGGATCCTCCAACAAATGTGGATTCATTCGGCTGATATTACCCACAGCAAAACGTGCTGGTCAAGATTACCAGAACTAATGGGCCCAGTCAAACCGAGCTCCGGTTGACGTTAACCCCTCGTAGAGACTGGGGAGGAAGAGGGCTGTTGGGCTGCCATATCCTACCCGTCTGAGGTCTGCCGCACTGAGGAGGATGGATACGTCGCAGTTTTCGACGCAGGAATGCTCGACTCCAGTTACGGGCCCAAATACAGGCGAATGCGTGTAGTCGACGGGTGTAGGGCGAGCATCATGGCCAAACGAGTTGATGCAAATCAGCCTGCATAAAGACGGCCGGCCTATGAGTCGGCTTGAGCCTCTGGAATGGCAGATAAAATAGGGCGCGCCTTAACAAATCAGGCGTCTATAGGGTGGATATGGTGATCTAGACATCCCAGCTAATGAATAAGTTCATCCGCCTTTAATTTCGGATGCAGGAAACATCCGGGCCCTAGCGCGTGCTTGAACGTATTGATGTCTATCACTCTGTGCCTGGGCGATAGGTGCGTCGATCGCGCTGGTTACTCATGTAGTTGTTGGGTCAAGCTGGTCAGAACGAGATCTCAAACAGAGATTTGTGACTCTATGAATATAACGTGCTTGAAGTACTGGTAGATCGGTTTTCACGTGGGCGCTCATAGCAGTGTAGGTAATTTCGGACATGGCTGACTCGGGAATTAAAGACTCAAAGGAAATGATAGAAATACAAATGAATAAGGAACATGCCCGGTCAAAGAGAAAACGAAAATTCCATGGTGATTGTTGGCAGGTTCCGATAACCTCAGTCTGAGCCAATCTCATTGGTCAGGCCGTCCGGACAGGGGCCCAAAAGACCAGGCAAGCCTGGCAGGCAGAAGCACGCAACCTCCACTCCATTGTGGAAACTGCGCGCAGTGACGGGATGAGCGACAGGAGCCAGTCACGTGCCAGTAGTACCCCGCCACCTGCCCGACCCGACCAGCGAGTTTTTCGCCCATCAGGCTGCTGGGGGCTGGGCCGCCTTCGTGAAAACAACACAGGAGAATTTCTGCCGGCTTCTGCTCTTTGGCGAACATCCCACTCTGAACCTCCAACGTCATCCCACGGGAAAAAAAAGGTACGTTGGGCCCCCATCTTGGAGACCTGCGGCCTGCCACCTGACGGGCTTGCATTGATAACGTCCTGCTTTAAATGCTACCCGCCGTCCCACGCATTTGATCCTCTTGCTCCTTCCCCTCGCATCCGTCCATCTTTTTTTTTCTAACCGCCTCCACCTCTCCGCCTTTTCTCAGGCTCCGTGCAGACACTGACCTTGGGCGCGCACACACACACTCAGTGTCCAGCGATTTGACGATAGCGTCTCGATCTTCACATAACACACATAACCATGGCTGAGGCTCAGGTTCCCACCTTCAAGCTGGTGCTGGTCGGAGATGGCGGTACTGGCAAGGCAAGTCAACTCGACAACACAACACCCGAAGCCTTCCGGAAAGGCGACTTCGTCTCCCTCGGCGACGGCGCTCTCCTCTCGATGCATCGACCCCCTCCTCGACGGCCGTTGCGCCACGCCGCCCGCCTCTGCCATAGCCGCTGATTTCTAACGTTGACGCCACTCCAGACCACGTTCGTCAAGCGCCATCTGACGGGCGAGTTCGAGAAGAAGTACATGGCCACGCTCGGTGTGGAGGTCCACCCCCTCGGCTTCGATACCGTAAGTCTTCTGAAGACAGGCCCGGACCCCGGCACATGTGCGAGCAGATGGACATGCATATCTGACAAGGCGAATAGAACTTCGGCAAGATCCAGTTCGACGTGTGGGATACCGCCGGACAGGAGAAGTTCGGCGGTCTCCGTGACGGATACTACATCAACGGCCAGTGCGGTATCATCATGTTCGATGTCACCTCCCGCATCACCTACAAGAACGTCCCCAACTGGCATCGTAAGTACACGACCCAAGCGCTAGCTGGAGCATACACTGCTGCCCATCACTCTGGGCAACCACAGAGACTTGTGATGAGGGAGAATCGGTCGACTGACGCGCATCTACTCCCCAACGATAGGTGACCTGGTCCGTGTCTGCGAGAACATCCCCATCGTTCTCTGCGGCAACAAGGTCGATGTCAAGGAGCGGAAGGTCAAGGCCAAGACCATCACCTTCCACCGCAAGAAGAACCTCCAGTACTACGACATCTCAGCCAAGTCCAACTACAACTTCGAGAAGCCGTTCCTGTGGCTCGGCCGCAAGCTTGTTGGCAACCCTGGTCTGGTATGTCTTGCCCTTTTTGCTAAATCTCGGTTCTTAAACAAGAAATGTTTGGTTGCTAATGCCATAATAGGAGTTCGTCGCCGCTCCCGCTCTGGCTCCCCCTACTGCCGTCGTCACCGAGGAGCTCAAGGCCCAGTACGAGGCTGAGCTCCAAGCAGCCGGCCAAGCCCCTCTGCCGGACGACGATGATGATGACATCTAAATCACTCGCTCCAAGCTGCTGTGAGCAGGGGATGGCGAAGTTTTAGCTGCCACGTCTTGACCCTTCTCGGGCACCAAGGCCGACGGGCGGGACACGCGCGCTGAGCTAGCTGCCTTACGACATGGGACGGATGGGATGGATGGAATGATTATTTTCGGCACGGATGGGGAAGTCGGCGGACCGGCTGGATGGGTAACTAGAAGCGACGTCGACTGGCTGGTCTTTTCTTTTCTTGTTTTCCTCTTTCTTCTCTTCGCAACGCCTCCAGATCGATCGGCATGATAATCCCAGCATCGGCCTCCCACGACACTCATGAAGCGGTGGTAGAACTCGGCGTCCGTTTGCTGCATAAACAGCTTCCAGGTAGACATAAAAACTGGCATTTCCCGATTTTTGGCTGTGTATAGTCACTATTGCACGGCACGGTGGTTGTTGTTGATATTTTTCTATTTTTTATTTTTTGGCGGTCGGGCGGGTGGGCGGTGAGAGTGTGTCTCCTCGGTTGGACGAGGGGCTACCCTGTTGCCATGACATCAACGCGCCGTCACTGCAGCCACGCTTTGTCAGCGGCTCGCCGAGCCTCACTTAATGCTTGCGCCGAGTGCTTCAACCACTTTAAGCATTTTTGGAGTTGGGTGCTATGTGGACGCAGGGGTGGAAAGTGGAAGCGGGGGCTTGATGGCGACGTGTCAGCCAGCAGCGTGTGCTCGACATCTGCCCACCAGCCTCTTGGAACGGTCTAGGCCGTGGGGGTTTGATGGAGAGGAGAATTTGTCCGGTGTGGCGGTCAGGCTGGTGGGTTTTTTGATCCTGGGCCAAGACCCGATCTAAAAGTCCGATGAAGTGGCTTTGATATCCATCCACAGTTAGGCACCAAAAGCTGTTGAGCTGTCGAGCGTGCGCGGTATGTGTCCAGAATGTCACCTTGCTGCATCCGGATTGACCTGGACTGTAACCGGGGATTGGCCAATAGGAACGGACTATCCGGTTCTGGGTTCACAGAGTCGGACATGTTGTAAAGGCCATCAAGTTTGGGGTTCAGGGGCAATGCGGTGTCGACTTCCCAGAAGTGATGCCGGCCCAAGGAACCAGAAAGACAATACACAGCACCAACCCTAGCTCAATTGGGTTCAGTACCATGGGCTTGGTGCCAATGGTTCCACGATTGTGTGGAGAGGGCGGGAAGGCGGTGACGGTCGACAGTGAACACGTTGTGCCGCGCTGGACGCCCAACTAACTTGCCCCCCTGCTGGGCGCACGTCGAATTCCGAGGCTGCTGAAGCACGGCGGCGGTTGATGCGTCGGCAGGGAGGCAGGGCAGCAAATCGGCATGCTGTCGGGAGAGCAAGGTGGAATTCCGAAAGCTACGACAGGCCGGCCCGACGTGTTCTCGGCCCCTGGCTGCGTCAAGGTGTAGAACTCGCTTTTAATTCCCCAATGACGTCGACCGCCATTCTTATTTCCCATTGTTTTACACCCCCTTACAGAAAGAAGCCTAGGAACCCCACCGATCTCTTTCCCACAAAAAGCTTAGGCCGCAAGTCGAGCCCTGAGCAATGGCGCAAGAGACAGGGCACCGCGTCCGACCGGAATTTGGCGACGCGTTGGTTGGAGGGGGGGCTGCTGTCTCCTCCCGTGTGGCGGGCAAAGCACGGAACCACCACCATCATCATCTTCCATCACACATGGGAAAGCCGATGGGCATGTGGGTTGAAATTAAACGGCGCCCCAGCGCAGGTCCGGGAATAGCCACGGCCGGCGTAGTACATTGAGACAGCACAATCAGGGCGGGCCCTCCTCCTCTCTAATGCTCTAATGCAAACAAGACAGGCACGGCGGGACCTCGTTGGCCAGGGGCACTCGGCGGGCGTGCAGCGTGCAATTTGGAGTGAGGTGTGCTGCTGCGGGCGGAGCTGCAGCGACAGGGGTTGTGGCGCTCTTTTTGACACGGGGCGCCGGTTGGACTGCATCGTGGGCGATTGATGGATGGGACGAAGCGAGACGCACTGGCAGGAGGCGTGCGTCGACGGAGGGGGTCGGTGCTCAAATGAGAGGCTGCTTGCTGGGCTCAACTAGGTGAGCCGGCCGCCATTTGCGGTGGCACGGTGGGAGGGAGGAGGAGGCGGTGGGCGGAAAAGGAAAGGGGATGGGAGCCAGGCTCAATGTTGCCGATTGGGCTTGGTAAGGTGGTGCCAATTCTGCTGGTTCTGCTGGTTCTCTGCTGGTTCTGCTGGTTTGATGCGCCCGATACGTGCCCTGACCACAGCGCCCGGCCTTCCCAAACGGGCAGGGTAGAGAGGCTGGGGTAGCGGGTCCGGGTTTCTGATTGGCGGAGCTACAGCCACCTCGGGCTCGACGCGCATCAAATGCCAGGCGTGTTGTATACAAGGGTCTCGTGGGCGTGATGCGGGGAGCGGGTCCCGTCATGCACACAAGTCGCGGTTCGAGAAGTTGGCTCCATCGACTCTCTGCGCCCATTAAACAGAGCCTCCCACCCTCCTTGCGAAGCTTGGAGCAAAGAAGAAGAAGAAAAAAAAACCGAACGCTTCTCCCGCCACCCGTCTCCTTCACGCTCGCTATTCCTCCCAGAGACGTGTGCGCCCGCCCGCCCTATCTGCACCTGTTTGCTGCCTGTCGCAACACCGGCTCGCCTGGCTACAGCTTCACACTCGTTTGGCCTTCCTCGTCTAGCATGCATAGTGTTGACCGCCCATCATGATGGATTCGGCCCGCATCCCCTCCCCCGACTCGTCCTTCGCGTCCGTCTCGCAGGACGCCTTCCCCCCGAACTCGGCCAGCCCAGCCGTGTCCCTCGCCGCGTCCCAGGAGCCACCAATGGCCGCCGAACGCGCAGACGCCGACATGCCGCACCCGTCAGAGGCCCCTGAAGAAACAGAGCGCCACCCCAAGGGCCGGAGGAAACGGACCGCGTATGTGCCCCAGACGTGCTGCGGGGGGAGCCGCATGCGCTGCCCTTGGATTTCCCATCTTAGGGCAGTCGACACGACGCGTCTAGCATTGACTGACATTTTTTTCGCCTGCAGCGCCAAAGATAAGGCCATCCTCGAGGCCGCCTACAGCGCCGACCCCAAGCCAGACAAGACGGCGCGTCTCGAAATTGTGAAGCGCGTCACTCTGAACGAGAAGGAGGTGCAGGTAAGGAGCTTTGAGGGCGCCGGCGCAATCAATGGCAGTCGTTTGTGCCGCGTGCTGATTTTTTCCCGTCCCCAAACAGATATGGTTTCAGAACCGTCGACAGAACGACCGCCGGAGATCGCGCCCGCTTTCACCCCAGGAAATTGCTGCTCTCCGCTATGGCGGCATGCAGATTCTCTCTTCGGATGCTGGCTCGTTCGGCCAGCACGGCGCCGGGGGCGATGTCGGCGTCGCGCCCCCACCGCACGCCGCGTCGACCACCCCCGTCGCATCGCCGGACCTCGCGCCCTGGCTGCCCGACAGACACCCGTTCTACACGGAGGCGCCGGCGCCGCCACGGTCGCCCACGAACCAGTCGCCGGGCCCCATGGCGGCCATGGGCGCACAAACGCCTGCACCGCGGCAGCATGCTTCAAACCACGCGGATTTGCTCAACAGCTCCTCTCGATTCACTCCCGGCTCGGCCACCAGCAACAGCTTCATGGCGGGCAGGTGGCACCCCGGCAGCTGCTTCTCCACTCCGGCATCCTCCTTCCGCCGCGCCTCGGGTGCCGACGATTCTTTCAAGTTTGAACCTTTTATGCCGTCGTCGTGCTCCTCGGTCGCGTCAGCCCCCATCCTGCCGCCACCCCACTCGCGACGTAACTCGCAAGTCCGCCTGTCGCTCTCGCTCGAGGGCAAGGCATCACTAGTCTCGGGCCTGAGGTCACCGTCGCCGCCTCGAAGCAGCAGCAGCCACAGCCTCTACAACCCGCACACGGAACCTATCCCCATCTCGATCCCGTCCATCCGGCGCGACAGCCTCCACCGCCGCCTGAGCACGCAGTCCATCACGCTGCCGCCCATCTCGACGCTGACTGATTCCCTTTGCGGTGATAGCAATGGCAGCAGCGGCGGGGTGGTGGTCGCGGCCGTCCCTATGGCTGCTCCTGCCCCGCTTCCCCCGCGCCTGACCCGTGGTCGCTCGCGAGACGTTCACGCGTGGGAATTTGCTGCAGACAGCGCCGAGGACCGCGAGGACGAGCTGACGCAACAGGCGAGGCACGAGGCGAGCGGGTCGGCCATTGCCGCCATCAGCCTCCTGCGAACGACCTCGGCGTCTGCCGCCGCCGCCGCCGGCGCGTCCCCTCCCGCTCTGCAAGCCAACGGCAACAAGCGCAACGCGGCTGTGCGGGGATGCTCTGTATTTGACAGGATCAGCGCAAACGGCCAGCAGTACCCCTTCAAGAGGGCCAAGCTGGGCCGTTCGTCAAGCAGCGTGGCACGGCTGCAATCATCGTCGTCGCGCCTCAACGTCGAGAGACTTGTAGAAGCGACAGACGATGAGGAAGCGTTGGCAGATGGCGGTGATGCCAAAAAGATGGAGGTGGCCAGCCTCATTGCAACTAGCGGGCACGACTCTGACAAGGAGAACTGGAGCCCCGACGAAGACAGCTCCCCGGCGGTTAGCAGGAGTCAGTCTGCTGCCCCGGCCGGTGTGGTGGGCGGCCGGATACTACCTCCGGTTATCTTTTCAGCCTCGTCCTCGCCGCGGCGGCACCCCGTCTCGTTGCACGGGGGCAACGGGCGCCGAACTGGGTTCATGGACGAGCGCCGGGGCCTACTGGGTGGCGTTCATCGGGCCTACTCGGCGCCCGGACAGCGGTCCAACAAGCGACGCGCAGGCAGGAATCCGGCGTCCATCAGCATCTTCGAGGACGACGGTGAGGAGGTGGATAGCGACGGGGACGGTAGCGGCAAGGGCAGGTTCGGGCCGCGGCGCGATGACGAGGTCGAGCGCTTCATGCGCGGCGAGGTCAGCCCGAGCAAGAAGGGCGACTTTGACTGCGTGGCCGGACTCCTGTCGCTCTCGCAGGGCAACTGGAGGTGACGGGACATGCGGTAGCGTTGGTTGTGCCTGGCCACTTCCATCGCGGCATGTTTGCTGCAGCCTAGCCTGCCTGTGTCTGGGGCCATAGTCATATTTGTCTGTCGGCCGCCTCCGCCCACGAATAATGGTGGGCTGCCTCGTCGGCACTTCCAAACGAGTGATCCGTTTGGTCAGGAGCCTGGACGTCACACAGCAGGAACACTAGCGACGACGACGCCCCAGGCCCCGCACGAGGGGCGTATAGCCAACCAGGGCACGGGGAAGGTCGATCAGCTGTATCCGCAGGACGGAGAGAGCGAGAGAGGAGCATCTGTGTACAACTATATAAATGTGGTTTATCATGAGAAGCCAAAGGGGGCAAAACATGCCTCTCAATGGCGATGATTATGGGTTGGTCGGGCGGGCAATGAACGACTGGGGCGGCGGAGGAAAGCCATGCTGTAACAGTAAAGAGATGAAAACGGGTTCATGGGAAGAGCTTTGGGTGTTTTGGAGGCGGGCTTGGGTTCCGGTCGGTGTTGAGCTTGGAGGCTGGGGATGTAAAAAACGAATATGCTACGAACTAATGCAATGCTAAATCTGATGCAGCCCACCACCGCTTGCGTTTGCAATATGTCGGTACATTTGTTCCTATCTCACTGGGCCGTCAGGGCGGCTCTAGCCCCGTCTCCCCGTCCCCTGCTTCGCCAAAGTCGGCTTCACAAACGGGTGATCTCTCTGGTGCTTGGGTCTGCTCTCGTTTCTTGGTAAGGCTGATTGCCTGAAAGCATTTAAACAGTTCGATATGTCACCTGCTCCTGAGGGCTTGTTAGCTTGTCTTGCGCCTGTGTTTGTCCGTCTTGCTGTGATGCCTGCCGGGGTGACGATAAATATCGTCTATCCCTTTTCTTCAAGGATGGTTGAATTCAACTTCACTCGCACCCGCTCGGCCTCACTCGGTCTCACCTGCACACGCACGCTTGACGCCCACAGAGCCCCTCACTTCTTCCTTGTTCGGATAATAAGCAGCATGACGGAACCTGACACTAGTCCTCGCCATGACTCTGGCCCTCTCAGGGACGCTCTCCTCCCCTTTGCTAATGGCAGCATCTGCCAAATCAAGAACCCCTACGAGGGCGGGCTAAAGTGCAAGTGCTGCACCAACTGGGTGAACGAGTACCCCGACGACGCCATGGACTTGGCCCGAGAGGGAGGCCGACGCCGCCGGCTCGTCCATAGTCGTGCGCCACAAGAAGAACCACGGCGGCGGCGGCGGCGGCGACGGCGAGGGCGGGCCGCCGCTCCGGCTCCACTCACTCCATCGTGGTGCAGAACGCGGCGCCGCTCAGGGGGACCCTCCTCCTGGACGAGGTGTTTTGAGGACTACTAGCACGACAACGACACCGCGCCGGACAGGATCGCGCTCCGCGCGCGCCCCTTCCCGCGACCTCTTACTTTGCCCGGGACCGGCCTCGGCGCCGCCCGTGCTGCGCGAGGAGAGGCCGCGGGCACCGAGACCCGCCGCCCCCCGCACGCCCGGCTGCCGCTGCTGCACGGCCTAGCACTTCGCGAACTATAGAGCCCAGGTTCACCAAGGAGAAGCGACCAGCTAAGGGCCGACCGACATCACCTCCTTCGACCCATTCTGGGGGCCCTGTCCGAGCCAGGCGCCACCGTCGTGCGCGGCGGCGGCGGCGGCGGCGGCGTCCACCGCTACCCTCCGCAGTTCTTCCGCTTCGAAGTCGTGCAGGTGCGGCCGGCTCGAGTTCGAGGCCCAAGGTCTCGTGCGTTGGCCTGGGACGGCACCGAGTTCGGGGGCCGAGACCGAGTGGGTGTGTTCCTGGACCGGTTCGACGAGCACTCGCGCCATCGCGAGCCTCGGGCTCTTCCCCCGAGGCACCTTCTACCCCGAGCTCCAGAAGGCCAGGGCGGGCACCGTCGGGCGGGCGCTCAAGTTCTGCTCCCTTGGGGGGCATCCATCATGGATCCTACCAGGGCCCCGTCAATGGTGGAGGAATCCAAACAGAATGTAAGCTCTCCCGCCACTGGTTTCCCGCATCGACTGGCTGACACACGCACTGGCCGCCCCGTCGGTCAAGTTCAATGGCTAGGTCGTGCTTGATACCGAGGGGTACTATTCCGACCCTCAGAACCGGGGCGACCGCTCAGAGCTGAAAAGCCTTGGTCGTCTCTCCCGCAGGGCCCTGGACGCTGTGAAGGACGACGACAAGCACATGGACAAACCAAGCCTAAGGCGACGCAAGCTTCTGATCCGGGCGGCCGGCGCCGGACCCAACAAGGGCCAGCGAAGCAGGGAGGCCGACAAGAGTTACTCTGCCAGAGGTATGTCGACCAGCAACAAAAAAAGAAAAAAAAAAAAAAAGCTGACACTCCCACCCCCGTCGATCATAGGGCGCTCGAGTACTACAAGGGTATCCTCATCATGGCCACCATCCGCCCCGACGCCATCGACCCGGCCTTGGAGCTGCACTATCCGGCGCTAGGGCCCGAGGCGCGCCTGGCCGTGTGGGGAGGATAATATGTCACCTGGCCTGAGAGGAGGCCGGTTCTGGCTACTTTTGGGTCATGTTGTAAGTCTGTGGATCCAGTTCGTTTTTTTCTTCTTCTGATGGATCGGGCTGGCTGCGTGCTGGTAGGTTTATAGCTCGTGGTATCGGATGTATCTCCATGCGCCTAGACAGTCGAATACCACACGCTCGTCTTGCTGATCACTGCGGATCCCCTCCCCTCCGACGACTGTGTTTCCGTCTGGACCTTGGCGGTATTAATCTACTGTGGTGCTGTACCCAAGCCCGGGTCTCGACCTGTCTTGGCTAGCCCCGGCTTCTATGAAAAAGCAAGCTCACCACATCAATGACAGAAGCAAAGCTTTCTATGGCCCGAATGCAGCGCGGACAGGTAGGCTACACATGTGATAAAGCTCGGGCTGCATCAACAAAAAGAAAAGAAATGCACGTGCGTCTGGGCCAGAGCCACGCCGACGGCCATCAGAGGACGGAATTTCCGTATATCCGTGTACTCCGGGCGGGCACAGAGTCGGAAATAGCGGAGTAATGGGAGGGGGGACCGACGTCGATTGGCTCGTCTCTCGCTTCTGCCTTGCCCTCACGTCGAGTCCTCAGGTCTGGATGGGCAGATAGGATCCAACCACCTGGCTGTGCGCCGGCGCCGTGTAAATAATGACTCAAATAATCCGCAAAACGTGACGGCATCGGGAGCTGCTGGAAAGAAGTATGACGGCGCCACCCAGCAGGTCGGACGTGTGCTCTCGCCTCAAGTCCCACCGTTTCAGGGGTGACCCCCCAAAGAAGGCGGCACTGCATGTCGGCAAGGAACACACACACACACACACACACACACGCACCCCTTGCATAAATCGGCACCCCGAGCCGGATGCCGTTACAAAGAGGCGTCGCGGATTTAATCCAAAAATGCAAAGACATGTCACAGCTATAAACAGCCAGAGACATGCACATGGACTCAGGTTGAGTGTTCAAAGACTAGGAATGCACTTCGTCAGGTTTTTTTCTGTATTCGTCGTCGAGGAAACAACGTCTGGCTAACCATGGTGTAAAATATCTTATCGAGAAAGAACAAAAACGCTGTGGGAGGGAAGTCGTCTGCTAAAAAAAAAAAAGCAAGAAGCACAGCTCCCTCTGCGCACCCGCCCAAATCGTTGACGGGGGTCGACCACGCTCACCAACTGCCAAATAAAAAAAAAAATGCTGTCCAAAACCGTCTAGATATACGGGGGAAATGCCATCATCACCCTGGGGCCGACATGCGTATTGTCTTTGGAAAAAAAAAGTATGCAATATGCCTCCCAACGACCGGATATGAAATGTTTCGTCATGAGTGCGGATCAAACAAAGGTGCTCAAGACACGGGCATGCAAGAGCAAAAGAAGAACCGCCAAGTCATGGCCTCACATCCCCAGTAGGCTCATCTGCCGCCTCAACGGGCTAGCGGCGCTGCTACCCTCCTCGCTGACGTAGCAGGCTGAGTCGGTGTCAATGTCCCACTCGGCCTGGTCGTCACCGTCGCTAGACTCGGCGCTGGACTTGTCACCAGTGTCAAAGGCCTTTTGCGTGGCGGCCCGCGTGTTCCAGCGGAGCGTGCGGGAGACCGAGTCGAACCACTCCGTATCGGTGCGCACGACTGTGGGAAAGGGGTACTGCGACGCCGTGATGGTGACGCAATCACCCTGCTTCAGCTCGACGCGGCCCTTGCCGTCAAAGGCACAGTAGGCCGTAGCGCGGCTGTTGCGCGGGACCGACACCCTGAGCAGCATCGTGTCCGACAGGACCATGGGCCTGAAGGATAGCGTGTGCGGGCAGATGGGAGTCAGGAGGATAGCGGGGATGTCTGGGTGCACCAGAGAGCCACCGGCAGAGAGGGAGTAGGCCGTTGATCCTAGAGAGAGAAAATGGGTCAGCCTATGTATCACGTGGGCGCGCGCGCTTGGCAAAAAAAGAAAAAAAAATAGAAGAAAAAAAGGGGTAGCTGCAGAAAAACAACCTACCAGTAGGGGTGGAGAAGATGCAGCCATCCGCCTGGATCACGGTGAGCAGGTCGTCGTCGCCATACAGCTCCAGCTGGGAAATGTAGGGCGACGGGCCACGGTCGATGAGGAGCTCGTTGAGCACCTCGAACTGCTCGGCCTCCTCCATGTCCTGGCCCTGGGCGCCATCACGGTAGACGGTGCAGGTAAAGCGCATGCGCAGGTTGACGCGCATGCCCTCGGAGCCGAGGACGCGGTTCAGGTGGTCCTTGAAGCGCCCGTACTCGAACGTGGTCAGGAAGCCGAGGCTGCCGAGGCTGAAGGACAGCACTGGCGGCACGATGCGCTGGAACAGCCACGAGGTGAAGAGGACGGTGCCGTCACCGCCGAGGGTCAGGACCAGGTCGAACTTCTCGGGGTGGCTCCAGCACAGGTCGGGAGACCAATAGCGCAGCATGTTGGAGAAGCGGGTGTTCTCGGCCAGGATGCCCTGTGCGTCGAAGCGCTTCGAGTTGCGCAGCTTGGCGTCGACGTAGACGTTGACGCCCAGGTCGGAGCCGTAGCGCGGGGTGCTCAGCAGCCACTGGGTCAGCTCCTTGGTCAGGAGCACGAGCTCGTTGTCACGGGCCTTGGTGACGATCATGATGTTGCGGACGGCGCGCTTGATGGGGCGCCTCTGCAGCTGCTTGGCGACCTCGCGGACGCCCGTGGCGGTCTGGACCAGGCGCGAGTGCGACATGTACTCGTCATTCTTGATCTCCTCGAGAACCTTGTCGATGTCGACGGCATCGTCAAAGCGCTGGTGGTAGAAGCAGGGGGACTGCAGGCTGGGCAGGGCCGTGGTGGGGGTGTTTGTGCGGGCGGCCAGGTCGTTGAGGGCTTCACAGAGCTTCTGGGAAGACGAGGTGTTGGGACGAGCCTCGGCCGCCGCCGCGGCGCTGCGCTGGGCCGACAGCATTCCGTTGAGAGAAAGGGCCTCGGGCTTGTTGCTGCGGGCGACCGAGGCCAGGGCCTTCATGATGGTCTGTCGGGGGACTGAGTCGACCGAGGGCGTGCTCTTACGGTGGCCGAGCGAGGCGTAGGGTTTTTGAAGGGGCAGCAGGGGCGAGGGCAAGGGCGCTAAAACGGGCACAGCGACGGGGACCGACGGGTCAGCGGCATTCTCACGGAGGGCGGATTTTGCGTCGGAGAGCGAGAGGTCGCAGCGCGAGCCCTCCTGGGTAGGCGAGCCAGAGGTGGACGTCCTGGGACGTTCCGAGTGGGCGCAATCCGGACGCTGCAGCGTGGGCAGCGGGACGGGCGGAGCGGCGGCAGCTCCTGCGTGACCAACGACAGGGTGCAGCGAGTCCGACATGGTGGTGGTGGTGGGAGTGGTGGTGACTGAGCCCGGCTCTTGGTTGCTCCGTGGCAGGGGAGGGCTGGACAGGGCGGCTGGAGCTGTGCTGGCAGCTGGCAGCTGGCAGTAGGGAGGCGTACGGAATTGTGGGTGCGACGGGCGTGTTCAGCGGGCGGCTTCAGCGCTGCTCCACCGGAAATGCAGCGGTGCAGTGCGACGCAACCTCACTGGGAGAACACGGCGCGGACACAAACAAAGCCCGAAACCAATGGCGGATTTATGGGAATACCGAGCTCGCTTTGGAATGGCGGGCTGGACTGCCGGCTTGTGTCGATTAGCTCCTGCAGTCTGTCACACCTCCAGAGTCAGCACCTCAAGTTCCGACACTCCATCCGCAGGTTCGTCACCCCGCGTGCGACCCAAGGGGGTCCTTGTCTGTGTCCCATTCCCGTTCCTGCGCTCCAATGCCACGCCGCAGACTCGGCGAGCAATGGAGCCGGCAGGAGAGGACAGGAATAAGCACCCAACAAGGAAAGCAATGAGCGCCACTCACCGTATCGGTCACGCACAAAGCGACAACTGACTCTGCCGGGATCCCGTAGACTGGAAATAGCACAGACTAGGGGCCTGTGATATCGAATCTATGCACGAGACGACTCGCAGCGACGGGCTTTTGTGTCTCGATTGGTGACGATTCTGCGTGACAATGTGGAACCCTTGCTGCAGCACCTGCAGGAGAAGGTCAGGGCGGCAGGACGGGATGCAAATCAAGGTCGCGGAGGGGTATCTCGGGCCAGAAGGTCGGTTCCTCGCTGGTCTGTCGTTGAGCTGACGGAGAGGGAGAGAGGGAAAAAAAAAAGAAGCAACGAAAAACGCAAGCGACGCCTGGTCTATAAATGGTATCGAGAAGCAGCGAAAACAGCGGGTATTAAAAAGACGATAAGTCAATGTGAGGTCTTGTCCAAAGAACCACAACCAAGAAGAACAGAAGAAACAAGCTCCCCTCTCAAGAGAGCAGACGGAAACGATTGGAGAGATCGGTAGATGGGATTATGAGTGACGGGATGCAACCACACGGACGAGATCAGGCAACCGCTAGAACTACCAGAGCTCCACCGTGAGGTCGCGAGGAGGAGGAGGTGAGAGGGGAACAAAAACAGAAAAAGAAAGAAAAAAAGAAGGACGACGATGATGCGTTTGGGTTGGGCCTACGAGGAGAAGACTGGAGACCAAAGGGAGAGCAAAAGGGGCCATCACGAGCATCCCGACCCAGACGTTTTAATATTTTCCCTCGCCGACGACTTTCCCAGACAAGCAGCAGCCGGCAGCAGGGGGGGCTCGTTTTCTTGCGGCTGCGAACGCCTGCTGCTTGCTGCAACCTGCGGCAGGCTTTCCTGCTGTGCGTGCCGGGTAGGTATGTTGCTTGTGCAGCACAGCAGCAAGAAGGGGGAAAAGCCCACCGTCGCCGCAAGTGGGGCCCACATACCCCTATTCCGGCAGGCCTGCCCTGAGAACTGGGACTGGGGGAGGCGAGGGTCTGGTCCAGCTGCGGCGCACGCACGCATCGCAACGCACGCACCACGGGTTGGCGGTAGGGTTGCGTTGCAGCCCAGGATCACAATAACAACAACCCCCACATCCCATGAATGTGGATATGCCCGTTGTTTCCAATCCACGTTCCCACCAACCCTTTTCTGGAGCCCTTCCTTTTTGATGAAAAGACCCGGCCGGGGGGTGTGCGTGTGTGCAGTGTACCGGATCTACAGCGGCCGTGGGGGACATCGTTTGTGTGCCTGCTACATGGCTGGGCTGTGTGTGGTTTGTGTTTGTGTCTTGTCCCTGTGCCACGATTCCCACCCCTTCTTTTTTGCCGCCGCCGCCGCCGCTGGAAAGGCGGGCGGGAGCATCACGGCCCCAGCGAACTGCCTGTCTCCAGATAAACGGGACTTGTGTTGATGTTGTTGTTGGCCGGGGCGTGGGCTCTTTTGCATTGACATCACGGCTTGGCCATATCCTATTCGGGCCTGGCTGCGGCGGCTCTGCTGGTGCTGAGTTCTGCAATTGGCAGCGGCAGCACGCGCCCGTGATAGCAGCATGTGCGCTATCAAGCCACACTGGAAGATGTTTTGATATACAGACGCCACCAACGGACATTCCATCCTTCAAGTAACTCGACCCGAGCATCGAAACAGCCATCTCGACCAACGACGGCCACCTGCAGCAGCCCCGGGCTGGGATGCAGACCTCGGGCGGGCGCTTTGGAACTTTGGGCACTGGGCGTTAGCAGGAAGGGATACCACGCTGTCATCTGTACTTTGCTTGGCATCACGCACGTCCTGGGGACTGATCGGCGGCACCGACCAGTGCAGCGCAGCACTGGCCTGTGCAGAGGTGCATGGCACAGGCCTCGAGGCCCTGATGTATCTGTGGAGTACCTAAACTGCCAGGCTGACAAGGCTCTCGTTGCTGAACCCTCTCAGGCTGGCCTCGCGCCATACAAAACACTGTACTGGCGGCCAGAAAGCCCTTGCACTGGAGTCTCGAGGCCGTTGCAACAGACCCCGGTCAGCCACCCTCAAACCCCTCTTTTTTCGACTATTCCAGTAAAGATCAAGCCAAGATCAAGCCAAGATCAAGCCGGCCCACAGAGATACATGTCGTAAACCCCTGTCAGGCCTGCACAACTCGCACCGATCGGTGCGAAGCGTTGTACTTCCTCTGGGTGGGGTTTCCCTTACCAAATAAAGCTAGATCCTTCAATAAAATCATTTTTAGGGTGATCCGGGCGCCCTTGCTGCAGATTTCGTCGGTGCCGCCGATCAGGCCCCTGGAGGATACACGACCTGCAGCAGATCTCTTCCTCCTTCCCTTCTCTTGTCTGGCCCCCGTCCGTCGGGTTTCCACTTCCAGCCTCGAGACATGGCTGGTTCGGCACGTTGCTAAATTTGCGCTCCCCCCTCCCCTTCTTTCCTAACGTAGGCACTATATCCCGCGCGGATGCTAAGACGCGATAAAGCTGCGGAAGCCAAGCCGTCGAGCAAATCTCGTCCATGGAGGCAGAGCCACAACGTGGAGGGTTTGCAGCCCTGATCCAGCGCCCGAAAAACTCATGGCTTGCTCCTGGTTGGCGCATGGAGACGCCACCGACCCCAGGATTGTATCTCGAAGCCGCCGGGAATTGACGCTGCTGCTGCTGCCGCCCATCTCCAATGATCGAGCCAAGAAACAATGGACATATAGCGAGATTCGACCCAAGGCGATACGGTCTGGATCTGTTCCAGGGGACCTATGCTTGTTTTCCCTGCAGTCTGGGCTTCTCCCCCCCCTCCCCTGCTCCTCTTTCTTTCTTCGGGCCCCGCGGCTTCGCTGGTTGGACCGTCATCTCACCCCGGAGGTTCCAAATCGGGAATCGCGCCACAGCTTTCTTTGTGCGACTGGCGCCGTCCCTCTCCATCTGATTCCCCAACTGTCGCGGCTTTCCCGATCAATGACCAATGGCTAGGGGGCTCCGCCAGCACCTACCGCTCTTTCGCTCCGGACAGTGCTGGCTGGTTGGCCGGCTGGTTGGCTGGCGGGCCTAGCAGGAAGCCCACAAAAACGTGGCTCTCGCATAATAGCATTAGAAGGGGGTGCCGATGTTTCCATGCCGTGCCGGATAGGCGAGAGAGGGAAAGGGGATAAAAGAGAACAGTCTGGTGTTTGCCCGCCTTCCAGAAGCGATCCCCTCCTGCATGAGAAACAAGAGCGGACCGTAAACACAGTATACCAGCACAGCTCTTGTCTTCTTGGGGGCCTTTTTGCCGCACCGTGCCTGTGTGCGATTGATCCGCCTGCCCTGCAGCGCCGTTTGACCCGTGCAGATCACACGCCGTGCGCCCAATTCTGGACACTGCCGGCCTCACAGATTGGAACAAGGCCAGCGCCTTCCATCCATGTGCCATGTGCATCCCGTTGACAATCGGTACCCGCGCGCTATCGTGGCCACGGAGCAGTGTTGCCAAGACTTATCATCTGTGCCGTTGGGAGCGTGGGAGCCTCGTCAATAAATCCGTTGGCGCCGTGGCTACCCAGGCACAACTAGCGTCAGATATGTCTGTGCCAAATTAGAGCTCATGCGCATGCTGGCCACTTTGGTGCCGAAAGCTACAGCGCTAAGATAGAGCCGTCCGAGAGGCGAGATCCTGTCCCCCGGGATATCTCGCCTGGGGAGTTTTTGGCCGAGGACCGCCACACCGAGACAGAAGGATCGGGTACGACGGCGGACCAGCTGCCTCGACAACAATTGATATGCGACCAAAATACGCCCCCTTGCAACCCATCCCCACAGAGCCGTCGTCTTATTCGCTATTCCGGGCGACGAGACGGACGGCTAAGCCGTCCGGATTTGGATGGGTCGCAGGCAGGGAACAGGGTGAAACATGGTCGACGCCGCAACCCTCGAATTTGACAGCCTAGACGCCCGTGCCTCGGATCCACACCTGTTTGAGTGGGAGTGGGATGCTGGCAGTAAGCAAAGGGGTAAATCTCGGTGACTGCAAGCCCCCCAGCGGCTGGGGAAACTGCTCCTGAAGGGGAATGAAGGGTGTCCAAGTTGCGTGAGAGTCCGCCACAGGCCCCAAGGGGTCCATTGTTCCGTGGAGTTGTGGCCATTCGTTCACTTTCCGCCAACCATCCCCATCCGCTTCCCTTGCCTCCCAGCCTCCCCGTCCTTCCTAGCCGCCCGTGTCCACCTCTCGCCGTCCGTCTCCATCGATGCTCGGGATCGTCGCTCACAGGCTGATAAGGTCGGTCGGTCGGTCGGTCGGGTCGGGTGTCGGCAGGCCATAGTGTGCGTAGGATTCCGAGGCAAACAGCGCGCCAGGAGCCGCGCGGGGAGTTGGTTCGTTATGCCTCCACGTCTCGCGAAACAACTGCCTCATGGCATCCACGGTTGCCCGTGGGCCGCCCTTCGCATGCAGATCACGTCCATCAGTTCTTCCAATCGAGGTCGGCCGAGACCTTGGCCTCGACGGTGGACCGGATGAATTGCCGCATGTCGGGGCCGCTCCCTGCAGTGGCGTCGTTATCGGGATGGTCGTCCATCGCGACGGGGGCCCTGTTAGGCTCGCAACAGATCTCCTGCGCCTTGGCATAGACATCAGCCCATTCTTGCATTGTGAACGGGCCCTCGCTCTCCGCCAGGAGGAGCCTGTCGCCGGACGTGAAGGCGAACACGTGCAGGGATCGGGCCTTCTCGGCCTCCCTGGGCCACGGGTCCACCACTAGCTGGCTCTTGTTGCCTCCGCCCGGCGCCGCCGCCACAGCCACGACGGTTGATGTGGCGGTTGTCCTGAGCGGGACTGCTGCCGAGAGCAGAGCCAAAACAGCGGCCTGCAGCAGGGCCGGCACAATTGGCAAGTTCTGGGGGGTAAAAGGCGGTAGGACATTCGTCAACGAAGGCAAGTCACAAAACGCCGAGGCAGTTGCTATCTGAAGTGTAAAGGGGACTGTTGCACAAGCAAGGAATCTTCAACGAGGTGATGATCAATGTGAAGCAAAGAAGGAAAACGGCCAAGGAAGGGAGGAGGTGCTGTCTCTTACCAGGCGAGCCTGAACGAGCTTAGTGCTCACATAGTCATTCTCGGGGGATGCTGTTACCTGCAGCACAATCTGGACGAGTCCGCGAGGAAAGTTTTTGACCAGAATGAGCTGGCGCAGTGATGACTGTAGAATCGTCTCGAGATGGCGCTCCCGGGTGCCTGTGTTATATACAAGAAACAAGAAGGGAGCCGGACTGGTGAGTTAACAGCGCCTAAGCCGACGACGGTAGGGAAATCATATCGTTCGATGTGATGTCGGGAAGGCCCGCGTACCTCCAACCCCTGCCGCCGGTCGTACGATGACATCGACGAGGGCTTCATAGGGGTCCTCGTCCCGCCGTTGCGCCTCGATGGGCCCATTGACCGAGGCTGTGACGGTATAGCCTGCGTGCGAGTAGGTGGCTGAGCCGTCTGCTCGCGGCAGGTGTGATAGCAGCGCGGCCGGTTCCGATCTGGAAGGCATCGTGAGTGAAGTTTTGATCAACGCTGCTCTAGAAGGTGAAAGGTCCCCGTGCGAATATTTTTGAGCTTTCGTTTTTGAGGCTCTGCGGGAGCCGCGCTGCTGGGTGGGTGCGCTGCATGCGCGACGGTGGGCGCGACCGCACCAACCAGGACTCTAGAATTGCTGACTAACGGCCTCTTGGCAGTTGGCCCCCGCTTCTAGCGCTCCTTTCAGGCCTAGGTAGCTAGCGGCGGCAAGGACTCCTCACATGGCATCATTGCTGGGGCCCATCAGTCGATTTCCAGAAACCTGAGACCGCACACGCCGACTTCGCTTGCCACCCTCCATCTCAACCTAGCCGCCTATCTAAAGTTCCAAGATTGCAGCCCCTCGCTGCCCTGCCCGACCCCATAGCTGAGCTCTCAAGATGGCTTCCGATACAGCCGCCGCTTCTGCCAGCATCCCGAACCTGAAGGACAGACTGCCCAAGCTCGAGCCCAGGCGGAGGCGACCGCCGCCCTCGAGCCAGCCCCCGCCTCCGCAAACACCCACGCTCCCGCCCCCGTCAGGCGTCGACGCTCCCAGCCGGCCGCCTTTCTGTGTCCCGAAGAGGCGGATCCTGTCCAAGCGCGACCACGAGCTGTTCCTCGCATCGCCGACCCACGACCTCATCCTCGCCTTCGTCTTTGGCCTCTCCGACGCCGTCTGCGGCACGCCCATCTCGGGCATCAAGGATGTGGACCTGAGCCCCGCCGTCCGAGCCATCGTCGGCTTCATGGACGAGGCCGAGGAGCTGGTGGGGCAGTCGCCCCCGGACGACCAGGGCGGCTCCAGGTTCGGCAACAAGCGGTTCCGCGACTTTCTGGACAAGGTCCGGGCCCGGGCGCCCGGGTGGCATCGCCAGCTGCTCTCGGGCGTGGAGAGGGCAGGGGGGGCCGGCGCTCAGGGAGGGGAGGGCGACGGGGTGGGCGCGGGCGCCGAGGCGACAGCTTACCTGTGCCAGGCGTTCGGCAACCGGGCGCGCATCGACTACGGCTCCGGGCACGAGCTCAACTTCGCCATGTGGCTGCTCTGCCTGTACCAGCTCGGCGTCGTGGCGCCGACCGACTTCGGCGCGCTCGTGCTGCGCGTCTTTGTGCGGTACCTGGGCGTCATGCGCCTGGTGCAGTCGACCTACTACCTCGAGCCCGCGGGCTCGCACGGCGTCTGGGGGCTGGACGACTACCAGTTCCTGCCCTTCCTGTTCGGCGCCTCGCAGCTGCTGCACCACCCCTACATCACGCCGCGCGCCATCCACCAGCAGCTGACCATCGAGGAGGCCGCGGCCGACTACATGTACCTGGACCAGGTCGCCTTCGTCAACAGCACCAAGACGGTCCGCGGCCTGCGCTGGCACAGCCCCATGCTCGACGATATCTCGGCCGCCCGTGACTGGTCAAAGGTCGAGGGCGGCATGCGTCGCATGTTCGTGGCCGAGGTCCTGGGCAAGCTGCCCCTCATGCAGCACTTTCTCTTTGGCAGCCTCATCCCCGCGGCCGACGGCATGACGGAGCCGACAGAGGACCAGTCCGGCGCGGCGGCGGGCGACGAGGACGAGGTGCCCGAGGGCGACGCCGGCCGCGTCGACGTCTTCACCGAGGGTGGCGTCAGGCACATGCACCAGCAGAACGGCTGGGGCGAGTGCTGCGGCATCAAGGTGCCCAGCAGCGTGGCGGCCGCCGCCGAGATGAAGAAGAGGGGTCTCGGTGGGGAAGGCCTGAGGAGGATCCCTTTTGACTGATTACTCGAGTTCCTTTTCGCTTGCACCCTGGCTTTTCTGGCCAAGATACCCCTCTTCTACAAACAGGCCATCAAACCGTCTTCAGCACGCAAGAGCGTGTACGATAAAACAAGATTGAAAGGCTAGATGAAATAATTATGTATTAATGCCATCTGTGTCCATGACGGCCTCCGATTGAGAGGCGTATGGTGAAAGGAGAGAAGCAAGAAAAGGAATCAAAAACTGAACCAAAGAACGTCTAGGGGGGG